ACGAGAGAGAGAGAGAGAGACGAGAGGAGAGAGGGGGGGGGAGAAAGAAGAGAGAAGAAAGAAGAGAGACGCAGATGAGAGAAATGGAGAGAAAGAAGAGAGAGAAATGGAGAAAGAGAGAGAGAGAAAACAGACACGAGACAAGGAGGAGGAGAATGACAGAGAGAGAGAAGACAAACAGACAGAAGAGAGGATGAGGAGAGAGAGAATGAGAAAAGACAGAGAGCGAAAGCACAGAGAAAGCGAGACAGAGGACGAGAAAAGTGAGCAGGCAGCTTCCGTGTTCCTGTTTTCAAAAAGCGTCACATTTATCTTTGTCAGAACTCGGCTTTGTTAAGCTTTGACCTCCCCCTCCCCCTCCCCTTACCTTCGTCCTCTTCCTTTCTCTCTCTCTCTTCCTATCTATCTTTCCTCGTCTCTCGACTTTCTCCTCTTCCCATTGTCTCTCTCTCCTCTTTTACCTCGTTTTTGCCTTTCTCTTCACCTCTCTCTCTTTCTCTCTTCACCTCTCTCTCTCTACCTCTCTCTCTCTCTCCTCTCTCTCTCTCTCTCTCTCTCTCTCTCTCCTCTCTCTCTCTCTCTCTAACTCTTCTCTCTCACTCTCCTCTCTCTCTCTCTCCTCTCCCTCTCTCTATCTCTCCCTCTCTCCCTCTCTCCCTCTCTCCTCCCTCCCTCGCCTCTCTCTCTCTCTCTATTTCTCTCTCTCTCTCCTTGTGCCTTTCCTCCCCACCCCTGTTCTTCATGTATCCCCCCCCTCCCCCCCTTCCCCAACCCTCTCCCCGGTCCCTTGGTATCTTGAGACTCACATGCCATGAAAATTCAAGGACCAAAGTATTCAGTATTCAAGAACAGAGCAACTTCTTGGATTAGTAGTGATGAAAGTATAACAAACTTTAAAAACCTTTTTATGAAATTGCATACATGTATATGTGCGTATATATACATACATAAATAAATATATATATATATATATAATATATATACTATATATATATATATATATATATATATATATATATATATATAATATATATATATATATATATACATATATATTTATACAGAGAGAGACAGAGACAGAGATGTGTGTGTGTGTGTGTGCTATATATATATATATATATATATAATATATATATATATATATATATATATATATATATATATAATATATATATATTATATATAATATATTATATATATATATATATATATATATATATAATATTATATATATATATATATATATATATATGTATATATATAGTATATATATATATATATATATATATTATATATATATATATATATATATATATATATATATATATATGTATGTAATGTTATATTGTGTGTTGTGTGTGTGGGTGTCTATCTGTTTGTCTCCATAATGAATATACATGAATAGATACTGGCTAGACCGATAGATGAATAAATAGATAGAACGCGAGCAAGCGAGAGAGAGAGGGGGGAGGGATGTGTCGAGACAGACAGGCTGAAGAGAGTGAGAGAGAGAGAGAGAGATAAGAGAAAATTATTATAAAGATAGATTAATACATACCTAAATATGAATAGATAACATATATCAATAAAGCTACAAATATAGAAAAAATAGTAAAAGAATCAGTAAAATTACAAGAAAAATAAGAAAACCACAGGACTCACACACTCGCTCACAAAACACACATTAATGCACGGGATATAGATGCAAATGCGCTTTGAAATCAAGACAAGCGCCAAGTGGAAAGTGTAAACATACAGAAGCGCGTTTATGCAATATATAAATAACGGAAATATGAATAAGCGGTGTGTTAAGAGAAAAATGAGTAAGAGAGATAGAGAGAGAGATAGAAGGAGGACAACCAACAGCGTAGAGAGGGAGGAAAGAGGAGAACGGCAGATAGAGTGAGAGAGAGAAAGAGTGAGTGAGTGTGAGTGACAGAGAGGAAGGGAGAGAGACAGAGTGAGAGAGAGAGAACGACAGACAGAGTGAGAGAGAGAGAACGACAGACAGAGTGAGAGAGAGAAAGAGTGAGTGAGATAGAGAGAAAGAGTGATTGAGAGAAAGAGAGAGAGAGGGAGGGAGAGAGATAGGAAGAGAGGAAGTGAGAGAGCGAAAGAGAGTACGACAGACAGAGTGAGAGAGGGAGAAAAAGTGAATGAAAGAAAGAGAGAGAAAGAGAAAGAGAGAAAACTAGAGAGAGAAAATGAGTAAGAGAGGAAGGGAAGGAAAGAGAGAGTGTGTACATATATAGATTATAGAGTATACATACATACATACATATATATATATATATATATATATATATATATATATATATATTAATATATATATATATATATATATATATGTATATGTATATATATATATATATAGATAGATAGATAGATAGATAGATAGATAGATAGATAGATAGATAGATAGATAGATAGATAGATAGATAGATAGATAGATAGATAGATAGATAGATATAAACATAATTCCGGCATATTAAAAAAGGGTGAGAAAATTCCATCGTCGGCATCTCACACAAGTGCACACACATATATAAGCATAAACACTCGCTGCATCGCCCACAAACGTCGCTCTCAAGTGCATCTTGCAGCTGCGGTTTAGGCTCAGTCATGCTCGATGATGCTTGCAAACTGCTGAGTGGACATGTCTGCTTGCTGCTCTCTGCGGGTTTTTTTTTTTTTTTTTTTTTGGGGGGGGGTGAAGGGGGGAAGTTTTTGTTGTTGTTTTTGTTTATGCGTTTGTGTCTTTGATGGGATATGTTTGTGTGTGTTTTTTTTTTTTTGTTTGTGTGTTTGTCTTTGATGGGGAAGTGTTTTGTTCATGTTGTTGTTTGTTTTTGTTTATGCGTTTGTGTCTTTGATGGGATATGTCTGTGTGTTGTTTTTTTTTGTCGTTTTTGTTTGTGTGTTTGATTGTGTTTGTGTGTTTGTTTTTGTGTGTATTTGAGTTTTTTGTTTTTATAAAGGCTGTGTTAGTAAAAGAATTGTTTAGCTTTGTTCTTGTCCTTGTTTTCGTTTGTGCACGTTGTGATTTATTGCCATTTCGGACGTGAGTGTTTGTTTGTAAATTTGTGTATTTTGGACTCTATCTCTTTTGTCGTCGTTGTTGTTGTTGTTATTGCTACTGTTTTTTGTTGTTGTTATTGTTTATGTTGTGTTATTGTTTGTTGTTGTTATTATTTTGTTGTGTTGTTGTTGTTTTTGTTGTTATTGTTTGTGGTTGTAATTTTTATTGGTTGTGTTGTTGTTGTAGTTATTGTTTGTGTTGTTGTTATTGTCACTGTTTGTGTTGTTGTTGTTGTTATTGTTATTGTTTGTGTTGTTGTTATTGTTATTGTTTGTGTTTTTGTTATTGTTGTTTTTGTTGTTATTGGTTGTGTTGTTGTTGTAGTTATTGTTTGTGTTGTTGTTATTGTCATTGTTTGTGTTGCTGTTATTGTTATTATTTGTGTTGTTGTTGTTGTTTGTGTTGCTGTTGTTGTTTTTCTTATTGTTTGTGTGTTGTGGTTGTTGTTGTCGCTGTCTGCGTATGCATG